CATTAGAAGATTTTTGGTAGACATTTTAAATCGGCTATAATTTATTTTACCGATATCTTGAGTAACTCGGTTATTATGTAATAATATATTGCTCATTTTCTCTCTTTCTCTTTCTATAATAACGCCTCAAATCAGCTGAAATCTGGCAACAATATATTCGAAGGGGGCTACAATTAGCCGCTCTTCTCTCATGCACTTGCAGCTTCGTTCAGCCCCAATGTACATATTCTTGCCACACACTGGAGAAGTGGAAAACCGCCTTAACCTCGTTGTTTTCCTGCCCTCCCTGTAGGCTGCCAACCACAACCAGACGTTTCAAACATCCATCGTTCGCCATCATCGGGGAGGCGGCATCAAGCAGCCCCAACTCGCGCAGCTCCTCCCCAACAGGGCGTGTCAGCCCGTTTAGGGGGCGGGGCTTCAATGCGGCCGGCTCGAGGCACGTCAGCCCCAGCGCCTCCCCGATTCCGCCCGAAGACCCCCGAACGAGAAGCCCCAGCCCCACCAAAACTGCCTCATCGAAAATTCCGAAACCCCGAAAATCCTCCACCGCTGCGGTGTTCGGGGAGAAGGTGAACCACGTGGAGTTCCAAGGGCTGAGCCGGCAGGGGAGTCAGAGTCTGAGCAGTTTGGAGGAGAGGCAGACGCGTGGGAAGCCGCCTCCCAGCCCCCGGAAGAAGTTGACGGGGGCATTCAAGCAGCTGTCGCCTATTCAGGGCTCCAGCCCGGAGCCCAGTCAGTCCCAGTCTTCCCCCTCTCGCATTCCGACGAAGAGCCAAAGCACGCCGCCCAGCCGGTATGCGTCTCCTACTAGGGAGCCGAAGGCGAAGAGGAGCCGGTCCAGGCCCAGTGTGGCCAAGAGCCGAGACCCGAGCCCCTTGGCGTCTCCTACGAAGGCGAACCGCTACCAGCATGTGCAGTCGAAGATCAACACCTTCAACAGGCCCAGGCCGCCTGCCAAGCCGCAGCTGTCCAGCGATGTGTCCGAAGATAGCGGCTCGCCGAAGAAGAAAGTGCAACCGCGTAGAAACTCCTTCAATCGGACACCCTCCCGGCCAAATTTGCTTCCGAAAACCTACATGGGGAAGCCCAGCAGTTATACCAGTGATAGTAGTGATGCTGTGGACGTTAGAACCCCACCTGTGAAGCCTCCAGCTGCTAAACCTCCAGCAGCAGCAGCAGCAAACAAAGTACTTCCAGCCCCCAATGCTTCCAGTTCTCCTAGCAAGAGCAAAGCGCCTCCTAGGGCCAAAGGCCCCAAGGGGGCTGACCGCCCGGCTAAAACAGGCAACAATCGTAGGCCTTCGAAGGCTTCGCCTGCTGAAACATCCGGCGCTGAGGACCAAAGCAGCAGAAAAGCGCCTCCTTCGGCCGACCTGGAGGATGGTGGCGCCCCATCGGCCCTGGGCGTGGTTTCGAGCACCACCAGCACGGTGGCCACGCCCCTGAAGATAGAGACGCCCAAATTGGGGCGGGGCAAGCCGATGTCCCCGATGATCGATGGGCGGGTGCTGAGCGCGACCAGCGTGAGCCACGCGATCAACAAAATGAACGACACCGTGCTCAACACGCAGACGTTGATCAAAGATAGTGGCCTGCCAACCCGGTTGCCTGCCGCCAGTGCGATTATTGCCTTAAAAAGTGATTCCAGTGCAAAAGAGGTGGAGGACAGCGGAAAAAGCAGCATCAACAGCAAGCCAGAGGCGACCACGATTGCCCCTAAGGAAACCTCCACTCCCACCACAACAACAACAGCAGCAAATGAAGAGGAAGCTGCCACCAACCCCACCTGCAACTCCGCCCAACCAGCGAAAGTTCCAGACTATCCACAAAGCAAGCCAATGAACAACAACCACAGCAATCATGTGACCACGATAGGGTTGGGCAACGCGAAGGCGATTGAGCGAGAGGTGCAGAACAACATGAATCGCCTACTGGGTTCGATGGAGTCAAGTCTGGATGGTGTGCCGGCCTCCAAGATGTCGGTGAATGATCGCATCCGGGAGGCGAGGACTGTGATTGCGGCCGATGTGAAGCCGATCAGGATCACGGTGAGGGAGAAACCGTCCGATGTGGATGTGCAGAGTGGGAATGTTGGGCCGCATTTCGGGATTGCCAATGGAGTGAACGAGAGGCCCAGGTGAGTTTTTTTTTTTTGAGGGTTTTGAGTGAGGTTGTATGGAAGGTATATTGGGTAGTTTGAGGGCGGGTGGAGAGAACGTTTAGTGGCTCACAGAGACTAAGAAGCTGGTTGAAACTTCTACAATTAGCTAGATCAAGAGGCAACTTGAAACTTTCACCGAGTGGTCAACATACATTAAAGTATTTTTAGGAGAGTTTTCTAATAAATACGTCGCGACACTGATTTTTGAGAATCAAATTGAGTAACGAACTTTTTTTGCATGGGTTTCTAAAAAAACTTGAAAATGCAACTTTAAACTTTCACAAAGTGAAAACAGTGCAATAAAGTACCTCTAGTGAACATTTCAAATAAATACAAACAGGCGTTGATTTTTGAGAATGTGAGTCAGATTTGC